ATATATGATGGTTGGGTGTTCAAGTTGTGTGAAGTTAGTGACCTAGTATGACAAAGTTGTACTTGAGGTGGAAAAAGTCAGTTCTGCTTCTCACTCTTAAGTATTGTCCTATTTAATTTGGTACCAAAGTAAGAGAAGATCAAAATGTGGTCATTTTTGGCAGCAAATTTATATTTATTTGAGGGACAGAAAAAATGTGTGACATTATTAATGATCATATGCTGAACAATGGGTGTGAAACAAACTACCATGGAGTATACATATCTTCTGACTTCTAAGTTTCCTCAAAAGGTGTTCCCACTGATAGATAATCTCCTGTTAACCATTGGGACAATCTTCCATGCTATTTTGTTGATTTTGAGTAGTGGTCTAGAGCTGATCTATAATGATTGGATGGTCTTGAGCAATCCTGACAAAGATAGAGAACTTTGTAGATGCACTAGCCTTTAGTGTTTTTTCTTTCTGTCTATGCAATTTATTAATTATAACTATTTCAAAGTCAAAGAGTAAATGGCAATTTTGGTTTTTTTATTGACATTCTATTTCAGTGTGATTGTGGAAGCTCTTAAGGTTGACAGTTTACAAAGACTTTGCTCTTCATTGGAGCCGATTCTTCGAAGAGTTGTAAGTACAATTCATCCTTCACTCCCTGTATCCATTGTTTAACATTGTTACCAAACCTGTTGCAATTTTGGTCTGCCATTTAGCTCTTTCATAGTTGGGATTCCGATGCTAGGCTATCACAGGTAAGCTCATATGATAGTTTTCAAGTGGCTTAACTATAGTATAAAATATCCAGCATGGAATGGTCTGCCATAGAATTCTTAATATTTCAGTAACTGAAACATCAGTTAAGAGATTGAAAGAGTAAAAATGGGAAGGAGTTAAAAAGAAAAACATGCCAAGAAAATTAGGGGTTTTGAGTTTCTAGATCAACAAACGGCCCTTATTTATGTTTACCGATTTAAGTTCACTTGTAACCCAAACTCTTTATGTCCACTGATCCAATAAACAAGATCTTAGTGTTTATAGAAATGTCCTATATATTCATGAAAAAAAGGATTACAACTAAAATATAAACATCTTTACTATTTTGGTATTATGGAATATGGATAATTCATCAATATGTCTGGTGTCAAATTGATCATCATATTTGTGAATCTTCTCTCTTTCTCTTTGGATCATCCATCAACTGATCTCTGTGAGACTGTTGGACCAAGATCTTTCATATGTGGATGAACTTGATGTCAGCATTTACAATTCTTTCGTTAAATGACTCATTAGGATTTTCTTTCATGAAAAGAAGAGCCAAGATATTGGAGTATGAAAGAATGTTAAGAATACTAGGGATGAGAACGAATTAAGTTGGTTCAAACAAACACATATATTTCATTAATGATTGAAATTTCGTATCATACCGGTGTACCGAGCGATACACCAGGGCATATTGAGTGGTACGTCTAGAAAAAAATATAAAAATCAATTTTAGTACCGAGCAGTATATATATATATATATATACACACACACATATATATATATAAACCTTCAATGACATTATTCCACCCTATCCCCATCCTATGTGCATTGATGAAGACAATCCATCTAAGTCACACGTAGGCAGTGCCTGAATGTGAAGTTAGACGTATAGGATCACTAAAAATATATAAAAATATATATATTTTATATAAAAAAAGATATAAAAATGAAAAATTAATATATAAATATATAAAAAGATATATGGCGTGTCGAGCAGTCGCCTTGTCCTCGTCACTGTCACCTCGTCATTGTCGCCTCATTGCCTCATCTTTCTTCTCCTCGTTGCCTCGTTTGTGGCCTTCGATGTCAAGGAGATGGGGAGAAGAACAACAACATCGACATCGGAAGGTTCTCCGTGCGGCGACAGTGGACGAAGGAGATCGTTCGGAGATGAAGAAGGCCGGGGACTTCTCCCCCTTTCTCGCGGCTGCCTCTTCCGTTGCTCTCGCTGTTGCCTCCCCTGATCCCTGTGCCTCTAGCTCCCCCTCCAAAGAGGTATGACTCTCCTCGTCATTACCGCCTGGATCGGGATCATCAAGGGAGGGTGGCGCTAGATCGAGAACGAGAAAGGGTGCAGAAGACAAGTTCGTGTCGAGTTTCGACGAGCTCAGGTTGACGATGCATCGGTGACTCTGTGGTACTCTTTCTCAATGCTTCTCCTTCTTTTTTGATGCTTCTCCCACTTCTTCGAATGCCTCTTCTTTCTTGTCCCGCTTCACTGCAGCTAGGCTGATACTGCCCAGTAGTGGGCGGTCCGCGTGCTGGTCCACTGGCGGAACGATACGTACTGCCCGTTCCAGACTGTATGGAACGATATTAAAAACCCTGTATTTCATTGTTGTTTCTTCGATGTGTTTGCAATATGGATTATGCTTTTGGTGCTTTACTTTAAAATTTGTGGGATAGCAGAATGCTCTTCTTGAAATTCTTGTTATCGTATCATTCTGTCGATCAGATTTTTCTGCAACTTTCAGGTCATCAAGGTGGGATCTGAAGGCATTTTCAGTTTGTGTGTGTTCTTTATAATGTTAATTATCATGGTTAATATTGCTCATGTTTAGTGGTAGGCATGTGAGTGCTATATTCTTCCATTTTGATTCTCGGCAACCTCTTGATCAACCTTTCTTCTGCCTTATCTTTACATTTTTTTCTCTGTTTTGCCTGATTCATGGTTTTCTCGTGCCAGTCTAATGTGTATGAACCCTTGGATTATATTGTATTGCATGTTGGAGTATTTTCAAACTAATACATAGTTGATAGAAATTCAGAAAATTTGCATGATTTGTTTAGTATTCTATAACTTGATTGCCATACATGTTGGACTATTTTCAATCTAATACATAGTTGATAGAAATTCAGAAAATTTGCATGATTTGTTTAGTATTCTATAACTTGATTGCCAACAAGTAACATTTTGCTGATTCTGTCTTTTGCTTGTTCGTGTTGCTTGCCTTGTGATGCTTTCTTCTTCCTACTGTGTTTGTATAGGTTAGTGAAGAAGTGGAGCGTGCTTTAGCAAAACTTGGGCCTGCTAGAGTTGGAGGCAGGTAGATGGTCTTGACATTATCATTGAAACAACTGATGTTTTGATGGTTCTTTCTTTCATTCTTTGGCAATATATTACATTTCTCTATATTTAGATTTGCTATTTCACATGTCATTCTTCAAGCTTCTGAATGTGATTGCTGTCAATATTTTAGGAAGAGCTTGTGGAGCTTAATTATTCTGAAATAAAGATTGCTCTATTTTAATCTTGGGGTTATTTGATTCTATCCCCTAAATGTGAATGTACTAAAAAAAAAAACTGTATTTCCATTGAAAAGTTAGATATTATTATATTAATATACATGACCTTAAAAGCTTAACCTATTAATAGTCGTCCTATATGACCTTGAGAGGGATACATGATACATCATAACTCTGAAGGGACATAAGTGGTAAATACACAGTTTTAATTCTTTGCAGAGAGTATATCTGCAGTTGTGCTTTTATATTACTTCTGCAATTTATCACATTTATTGTTTGCTATTCAAAGTCCATTGAGGCTTGGTGAACAATACTTAATCTAGGTTTACTAGCATGACTTTGTCAACTTTGAGAGAGTATATGTTGGGCATCTATATTTCAGTGCTTGATCCATATGATAAGATCATTTTCTTCATTATTTCAGAGTTGCTGTCGTCTTGTTCAGTCAACTGATTTGCAACACATCTAATAAAATTTAGTTCATCTTCATCTTATACCATGCCCAATAGCTAAACTTTTGGCAGTGGCTCTGTCAAATTGAAGTTAGATATATGGTGGGCTGAGGTCCATCCAATTTTGTAGTATCACTTACACATGCCTATGTAGGCATTTCTTGTTGGTTCTTTCCATATTGGTGTCATCTAACCATAACCTTGTATGGAGAAAATAGGTCTACCAACTTCAGTTTTGTGTAGATTTATGTGATTTCTATTGGTTATAAAGAAAATTGCCAATTGTTCAGCCAAATATTCATTTGATCTGATTGTCAACTTCATGTTCATTCCGTCCTAACATGGAATAAATATTGTTGTTCTTTACTGTTGTTTTCTTTTTCTAGGAACTCGTTATCTAAATGATTTATTATCGTTTTGTTTGTTATATGTTTATTTTACATCATAGATAAAATATAGCTGAAGAAATCAAATCCTGCTCTGACCGTTATGTAGCGACTAATAGTTGTCAGACCAACCAAACACCTGTACCAAACAATATAAGTTGGTGATGGTCAATATAGATAGGTACACTGCCCAGTATACCAGTATTGTATTGGTCCAACCAGTTTCCAAAGTTCTGATCACCTACTAAAATAGTATCGTTCCAAGATTTAAATCCTTGACATATATCTTAAGTATTTTAATTAATTTGATTGGTTATAATCAAATCTTTATCATGCAAATTTTATCTGTTAGGATTCCTCTGATTCTTCAGAAAAATGCAGGGCTTCTCCAAAGCGTATTGAAGGACCTGATGGAAGAAACCTGCAACTGCAGTTCAGATCAATGTTGTCCCTACCACTTTTTACTGGTGGAAAAGTAGAAGGGGAGCAAGGATCTGAAATTCATGTTGTGTTGCTTGATGCAAACACTGGGTTTGTTGTGACATCAGGGCCTGAGTCATCTGCAAAGTTAGATGTGGTTGTGCTTGAGGGTGATTTCAATAATGAAGATGATGATAACTGGACTGAAGAAGAATTCGAAAGTCATGTGGTCAAAGAACGTGAAGGAAAGAGGCCACTTTTGACTGGGGACTTACAGGTGTCACTAAAGGAAGGTGTAGGGACACTTGGAGAGCTAACTTTTACTGATAACTCTAGCTGGATACGAAGTAGGAAATTCAGACTCGGGCTGAAGATTGCTTCAGGCTTTTGTGAGGGTATTCGTATTCGTGAAGCAAAAACAGAAGCTTTCACAGTTAAGGATCACAGAGGAGAATGTATGTCACTTCATACTCATTATTTAGTTTTTATGCCCTCAATTTTAGCTTGTTTATATAATATCATTAATTTGTATCTGTTCTAGTGTACAAAAAACATTATCCTCCTTCATGGAAGGATGATGTTTGGAGATTGGAAAAGATTGGCAAGGATGGGTCATTCCACAAGAAGTTGAACAAGAGTGGAATATTCACAGTAGAAGATTTTCTCCGGACTTATATCAGGGATCCGCAAAGATTGCGAAGTGTATGATATTTTATGTTCTTTGTTATCTTGGACACTTTAGGTACAACCATTGCTTTCTCTTGTGATTTTTTCTTTTAAGCATCTGCAGATCCTTGGTGGTGGCATGTCAAATAGGATGTGGGAGAGCCTAATTGAGCATGCAAAGACATGTCCCCTAAGTGGAAAGTATTATGTGTACTATTCTGATGACACAAGAAATGTTGGTGCAATCTTCAACCATATTTGTGAGTTTAGTGGGTTGATTTCTGGAGACCAGTTCTGTTCAGCTGAATCTCTGACGGATAGTCAAAAGGTTTGTACCATTGCATTATATTTTTCTTTGTTGCTTCAGGTTTTGCAAGATGATTAGTGACTAGCATGTATATATGAATAACTCTTCAAACAATGGAGATTAGCTAATGGTTGCATGGTTGTTGTCACTAATATATATTGGTTTATTTGGTGCAACATGGGACTTTATTTACTTTTGGCTGTAGGTTTTCACGGTTTGTTTACTTTTCACCATAGCACATCATTTCAATCATTCAATCACTAGTGAGAAATTTCTGCAGCAATTTAACCTGTAGCTCTATTTCTTTATAGCTTCACTTTGATGCATCCTGAGATAAATGTTTGGGCATTTGATCTCAAAAGAAATATTATTAGGTGACTTTTGTCTTGTTCCTTAAGTTTTTCCAGAAAGATATCAGATCCTAGAATCATACAAGAAATATAAGTATTAGCTTCCCAAATTACAACATTTTCATTATTTATTACAGGTCTTCGCAGATACACTCGTAAAAAAGGCATATGATAACTGGGCATGTGTAATAGAATATGATGGCAAGGCTCTTCTGAGTTTGACGTCAAATAAGAAGACAATAACTACCCGGAGTGAATCTCGAGCTTTGGCAAATTTTTCTGATTCATATGATTGCCCACCCTCACAGCAGCAGTTGTCGGTTCCAGCTCTGACAGTTCAGTCTCTCACTGATACAGGCATGGTCAGTGAAGGTAATGAAATATTTACTTCTTGTTATCCTTATGTAAAGTACACTTCTAAGATCATTTTAGTTATCAATCAGTTAAGTGACTCAGTTTTTTAGAATATTTCTCATTGACAATAGTGTGATGATCACAGTTTGTAGTGAGATTTTACCATTATTTTTCTATTAGACGTCTAACAGAAGTTGAAAGATGTGACCATTAACAGCTTATCTTCTTCTGCAATTACTAATGGCTATAAAAGAAAACATATTTCTGCAAAGATATTAATTCTCTGTTCTTTTGTTTGAATGACATGTACACTTTGCTGCTGCTTAAAATTTGCTTCTGTTAACTGACTTTTCTGTGTTCTGAGCAGGAGACAGCGGATATGGTGATAATCAAATGACCAGATGCTCCTCTCATCCTCAACTTGTTATCTCAAATGCCCAGTTGCATTACGAAGATACATCACTGACCCCTCAAAACCAGTTCTGTGAGTCTTCTGGCCTAGCTCAAGTTTCAAGAAATGATAGCTTCGGCCTGGCCTTGGGTCCATCACAACATTCAAGCTCGGAATTTCAACTGGTTGGCCAGCCCATGTTGTCTTCAAATCTGAATTCATATTATGACTGGTCTAATCAACGGCAGAGTCACGGAGTTGATGATTACCTAACAGAGGAAGAAATCCGCATGAGGAGCCATGAGATACTGGAAAATGAGGAAATGCAACAGCTACTTCGACACTTTATGGTAGGATCTTCCAGTAATGTACCAGGAAATGGATTTGAGTCTCCTTCATTTGTTTCTCCTCCATCTCCACCCTTCAACTTCGATGTGGATCAGAACCGTTCGTCCGGTAAAGCTGTTGTCGGGTGGCTTAAGATTAAGGCGGCGATGAGATGGGGCATATTCATCAGGAAAAAGGTAGCCCAAAGGAGGAGAGCTCAACTTGTCGAGCTGGAAGATTAGCAAATCGATTCAAAGTCTTCTTGGCCATGTAACATAGAACCTGGTGGCCTTTGCAAATTCTAATGGGCTATCTTGCGTCCTCTTGAAGACTGCTATATGCTGATCCGATCCCTTTCTTCTGTTGAAGGCGTGATGATGTTGATCCAAGTGCAGCAGAAATTTCTCTACGTAACATTGCAAGGGTCTCTTCGACTATTGATATGGACATTATCCGATGCTCAAGACGATTGCACCATCTATCTCTTGGACATTAACTATGCCTCTCCAGTGTTGTAAACATTTACTACATCCAATAAGTTGATCTCATTTAATCTGCAGTTTTGACCTGATAGTATTACAGCCACTTGCAAGCTAACAGAAGTATGGAACCAATTCAAGTGACCAACACCTTATCGATGTAGAGGATCGCCAAGGTGGTATGTTGAGCTAAAATTAGTAGCTATTTTTTTGAAGGCAGCCTATAATGGTGTTATTCTCACTCTATTTTACGTAGTAAATTAATTAATCCATTTCCAATAAATTATATATATATTTATATTTATGTTAGATGTAGTTTTTCACGTATTTGTGGGGAAGCAGTTAGTGTTATTCTTATTCAACTTATTGCCAGCAGCATATTTGCAATGACCAAAATCAGTAAGGTTAATCTAAAATCCAAATCTCTAATTAATACCTGATTCAATTAATATCATTAGTTCTTCCTAACTAAGATTTAGAACTCGTAATTAATTAATCTGAAAGTAGATTCCCTAATTGATGCCCGAATCAGACTATCCATATTTTTAATTGATATATTTTTAATTTTACTAATAAACAGAATATCCATATTTTACCTTCAAAAGCTAAGTTTATGAGGTACATTAAAGATTATATAATAGGATAATACTATTTATAATCTTTTTTTATTTATAATCTCATTTTAAACTTTTAAATATTTTTAAATTATTATTTTTATATAAATTAATATAAATATTCTTTTTTCTTCCTCTACCTTCTCCTCCTCCTCATTCTCTTCTTTCCTCTCATCATTTTTTTCCTTCCTCTTTTTCCTCGGGCGATGAGCGGTTAGAACAACATCAACAAAGAAATTATTTTTATTATTTTTTATAAATAATATAATAATATTTTATTATTTTTATAAGAAATTATCAATAGTAAATGAATGGCCAAGAAGGATCATTAAACTAAACTTTATGAAATATGAGGATTGGTTAGGGTCCGAATTATGAAGTACGTACAGTTGTTTGACTTTGCTGACAAGTAGCAAGCGAGGGAAGTACGATGGGGTGTGTCCGAGAGGCGCAGAGATGCCACCAATTGTGGAGCGGGTACGACGACGAGCTGCCGTTGGCGGCGCTTTGGCTCCACAGGGCAACAGGGAAGGGGGTGTGACCTCTGGAGTACGTGGTGGAGAACGGCCATGGTTTCGGAGGAACCGGGTGGGAGATGGCCGAGTTTAAGCGATCGAACCAGTGGTTGTTGATCACACAATCCAATTGTGATGGGACCGCATCAGCCCTCCGGCTTATCCCTTCGCTTTATCCCTACTTCATCCAACAGGAAGCAATAACGCCTTTGCTCCGCAGCGATGCACAGCATCGGCCTTCCCTTTCGCGCTCCTCCTCCTCCCTTCCTTGAGGTCGCTCCTTGGCCCTCGAATCCCCCATCTCGAACCCTCCTTCCTCCCCGCGCCTCGCTCTCCTCCTCCGCCTATTCTCCCTCTCGCCGCCTCCCGAAGCCCCCGTCGGTGCCAACGAAACCCCTCCCTAGCCCCGATCTCCGATGGCTCACCTCTCGCATAGTCAAGCTCTCGCGCCGGCGGCAGCTCGATCAGGTCCGTTTCCTCTCTTATTTCTCTTTTGATGGTCCGTTCTCTTTTTCTTGATTTGTTGATGTGACTGTTTCGTTCGGTTGCTCGTCCGTTCTCTGTTTCTTGATTTTTTGATGTTGTTCCAGATTCATTCATTATTTTCTGATTTATTAATTTGATCTCAGATCAGTTTCTCCGTTTTTACTCCGTTTTCTTTTCTTAGATCCCTAAATGTGGTTTTGGATTGGTTTCGCCGGTTCTTATCCGTCCTCATTTTCTTGATTTCTTGATGGAAAATTAGATTGTGTGTTTCGGTTTTGACCCGTTATATTGGTTTCTCGAATTCTGATCGGTTTTCTTACGTTTGAGATGTTGTTTGGGAGCAGATCTTCGAGGAGGTGGAGATCGCCAAGAGGCGGTACGGCCGGCTGAACACGATCGTCATGAACGCTGTGATGGAGGCCTGCATCCACTGCCAGGACGTGGGTTCCGCACGTCAGGTGTTTGAGGAGATGTCTGGACCAGATGGCTGTGGCGTGGATAACGTCTCCTTTGGGATCTTGTTGAAGGTAACCATCGTTCTTGCTTCTCCATCATAGGCAATAATTGGAGGGGTGAGTGAAATATGTCATATGGATTTCAGTGGGGAATTTGGGTTTATGTCCTGTATCGAGTAGTTCATATTGGGTGTCGCTGAGCAAATTAATTAGCACTCGTATTAGTATTTTGTTGTGAGTTGGATTGATGTTTCTTGGTGTCTGATTCGTATACTATGCCAAATTTTTTTCTGTCATAAATTCATTATTTAAAAGATATGGTTTTTCATTGTTATCATTAGCACATGGTGTTAACAAAATTTTGATATTTTTTTTTTTCCTTTTTTCTTTCATATATTGATCTTCGACTTTAGCATTTTGTGTTTAAGTAGCACTTTGACTTTTATCATCTGAAAAAACACTTTTCAAAACTATCTGATGCCACCTCATGACTATCAAATTGCCTTTCATTCCTCTGATGTGATGATTTAAATATCATTTTAGTCGTACAAAATTGGTGGTTACTTGACATAAGATCTTCTCTAGATCCTACCAGTGACAATATCTTTCAAATGTTTTCAACCTGTATATATAGTTGCTTTGAGGTTAGACATCGCTGATCACGTGAAATTGGAAGAATTTTTCCTCATGGATTAAGTGAATACTAAAGGGCTTGTCCAGGACAGTATTGTTACTTGCTAAGTCCACAAGTTAGATCAGTAAAGAATTGAGGGAAGGACTATTTAACTATCATGCCTTGGAATTTGCTGGCCTCACACTGGCATATGCAGCCATCATAGAGTTATTACAGAATTTATGACATTGGAAATTGTGTAATGAAATTGAAAATAATTTTATAACAAGAATATCAAACACAGAAGCAGTTTTAAATATAAAAAAGCAAGAATTTCAGGCATGAGTTACCAATGAAACTGACAGAAATGAGCATATGAAAAAAGGTGAAAGGACAAGAGATAACACAGTTTTATTTGAGTTTTGTATATGGAGGAAAAAGGACATAACTTCCATATCCAAGAATGAGAACAAAATATCCCATATTCAAATGATTTGTGCTGTAGAATTTCTTTTGCATGCTAGGTTTCAATGTTTTGGACCCCTAAAACACAACTCATGTCAATTTTAGCATATGAATATTGATTTCACCTTCATGGCATTGAATATTTGTTAAATCTTGCTAAGGGTTTAGGTGAGGCTCGAAGAGTTGATGAAGCATTCCAAATGCTTGAGTCTATAGACAAAGGTTCTGCTTTTGGGGGATTGCAATTGTCAGCTCATGTCATCTATGGGCTGTTGAATTCTCTTCTCCAGTCAGGTTTGTCCTATGATCTTGTTAATCCTTTCAGTTCTCTTCTTTATTACCAACGGATGAAGTGATTTCGCTTTTTCCAGACTAAAAAGATTTTAAATTTTGCCCTGATCAACTATATTCTGTTTCTATGTGGTTGATTCTCTTTTCTTGTATTACATATCTTGCATCCCCAGTTAAACTATTTGCCAAATTCATTGCATTAGAGAAGAATGACAACAATGTTAAACATTTTTATGATTGTCTGCTACAAGTTGTCTGATATTTTTGGAGCAGTAGGTGGTAGCTGCACCTTGCTTCCATTAAGAATCTTGGTATACAAGTCAATCCAACAATCAAATTACAGAAGATTTTGGTTTTAGTTTGATATATTTCTGTGTACTTCTGTGCTGCATTGTCCTCATTGATACTGAGAGAATCTTCTTTCATGCACAGTCTGTCTTTTTGTCAAAAACACCGAGTCTCTAACACAATTATTATGTTGAAGCCACAAAAAGGAGGATAAAATAAACAGATAACACACATAGAGCAATATTTAAATGTATACTAGCAGAATTCTTACGGAAAGTGAAAGAAAAATACATGATTGACGGAACATGAGATTTGGGATGTAGAAGTTGGACTAGAAGGGGAAAAGCATAATGAGTTTTGTTGATCACCCAAAACCTATTTAGGGCATGCATGCATTCAATAAGTTGACTTCAAGTTTGTAAGTTTAGCTTATTTTTTAGCACAATAAACATTCTGCCATCATGGTCATCACAAGAATAAGTTCTTTTATGTGCCAGATCCACCAAGAACTTGCACCTGGGTTTGAATGATTATCGCAAAAATGTGTTTCTAGTTTGAATGGTCAAACTCTTTTAACTTGCACCTGGCTTGAAAATGCAGGAGATTTATGGCGTGCCAATGGTCTTATTGCGCGTTACCGTTTTGTGCTTCATAAAGAGGGTCAATCCCTATTACTGTACAATTTACTGATCAAGGTAATTTGTTGACTTGTTCCAAAACTGTTGGTGTTTTGCAAGTATTTGTAACTCTGAAGTTAGAGCAATGCATCAATGTGTTCTTTTCTCTTCCTGTCATCTTATATTATGTCCTGACTCATGAATTTTTGTATTGATGATCTTGTTGATTGACTGTAAATTCTTTTGGACCTTCTTTTAGGGATATACAAACAGTGATTTCCCTCTTGGTGCTTTAGCTGTTCGGGATGAAATATTGCGTCAAGGGTTGAAGCCTGATAAATTGACCTACAATACATTAATTTTTGCATGTGTCAAATCTGGAAGAATAGATGCTGCAGTTCAGTTGCTTGCAGAAATGAAGGTTTTGAGCAAGTATTTGGAAGGCCAGTTTAGAGCATAACAATTTTTTTTATTGTGGACAAAAATATAATACAGATTTAATAAATAATTTATCATGTCTTACAGGAAGAAAATGAAAAGTCTAGTTGTTGCGAACTCATACCGGATGCTGTCACTTACACTATTTTACTTAAGGTACAAGTATCTCCAACATTAAATTGTATTTGCTTATTCGGATTACCGATGCTTGTCAAATGACTAAATAAACACTATCTCTTAATTAATTAGATATGGAAACATTGGCAATCACCTGTTGTGAAAATAGTTATTGGCACCTTTACCATTGCCAAAAAGACCTACTTTCCTCGAAGTAGAGCTTTTATGGTTGTGCTCTTCCCCGATGTGTTGAAGAAGCTGGTATAAGATACAATTTTTTTTCTTCTTTTCTTGGGGTGGAAGCTGTTGGAAGAACGCTACCTTTTTTTGTCACCATGGCAACCGTAATCAGAGCCCTGAATGCAAAGTAAGCTTGTCCAAGTGAGGCTCTTAAAAAAGCCACCATAGCTCTTCAGACATCCTAGTGGCAATTACCCTGCCACAACTTGTGGTGGTTATGTTGATGGAAACTTAGGGAAACCTATGTAATTAGCCAATCGTGAATACATAAAGACATGTTCATACCAATGATATGATTTTTATGGCTTCTCAATGAATCATAATTACTTCTGGTACAAAAGTATTTATGCTGGAATATTTCTAAGCTATGTTCATAAGGTTGCCTTCCATTTTCTGTTATGTTTCCTAGGGTATCTGCTTAAAAGAATGAAGGTTGTAACTTTAGTTAGTTTGAATTATGCAACCATTCTGAAAAAGGAATAATACAATCAAGAAAATAAAAGGATAATTCCTGGTAGTAAATTTGGAGAAGCAGTCAAGGGTAAGGTAACAATTGAAACCGTTGACAAAAAAATTTGACATTGTATTCAGTGGGCTTATATGTGGTTGCAACTAGGCACCAAGTTTGTTGGTTATGCCAGTTAACAGCTAGATGTATTGTTTTCTTATTGATGCAACCCACTTGCACCAATTTAACTTCATCAGTCTCTGCTCTTCTGCTTTATTCGGAAGTTGTGGTACTGCATGCGTATTACGAATAGCAATGGGAAATTTGTCATTACCTGGCTGCCTCATATGTTAAATGGTCAATAGGGCTTTGGAAACAACAAAGACTTGCATTCAGTTATCAAGACGGTGGAAGAGATGAAAACTTCTGATCTTTTTATTGATAGAACTGCATATACAGCAATGGTTGATGCACTGCTGGCATGTGGATCAATCAAGGGTAACTTTGCTTTCTCAACTGTTAGGCAATCTCTTCTACGATGGTTATGTTTCTTTTTTTGTCATGGAGCTTTATTGAATCATTGTGTATGCATATTTTATCATTAAAATGACTACTGGCACAACGGGTGGAGTTATCTCGTAATTCAAGATTGAAGTGATTCTTGTATTGCATCCATTTTGTCAAACTTTGCAGTATCTCCTATACATAGGTAATAGGTTGAGATTTAAGGAATGCTTGAGATGTGGGAGAAGCTTAAAAGGGCGATAGGGGGGAGGATGGGGGAAAGAGGACTATATAAGAGATTGGGAGAGACTTACAGGGATGGTAGAGAAAAGATATGGTCAAAAGAAGAAAGAATAAGGAATAGGAGAAGAGAATGATAATAAAGGTCATAGCCACTTTTCTTGTAATAATAATCCACTTATTTCAACGTTCTAAAGTAGGAAACAAATTGATTATACATATTTCATGCAATTAAGAAGCAGAACCTTAATCGAAGGACAAGGAAGCAAAACGAAGGTTTCATCACAACGAAGATGTGAAGATTAAAACGTTCCTATACTCACAGGCTTTTTGGGGTTGGATCTTGAGCTTATTAATGATAGTTATTTGATTATCTATTGATATTTTGAAATATTAATTTCTTGCTTGAGTGAGGTTCGAGCACAACGTTGGTTAAATAATTTGTTCTGATTAATGCAATGTTGATCATTTTAGTTACTATTTGGCCAAATAATGACCTTTACAAAGGTTAGTAAGAGCAAGCTTATTATCTCAAAGGGCTCTGATATGTAAAGCCATATATTATTTGCTTGCACATTGAAAATCTGTTTATGCTAGAAAAGCATATTTACATTACTACTATGTATTTTTTTATTATCTCCATATACAAGTCACCTTAAGGATTGCTGTGCTGGTCAGCATGGGTTGCAAGTTGCAACACTAAAGAGGTATCAGCACATAGCATGTTAATTTGTGCCTGAGATGCCACTTAAACAAATTTATAGCTTTTTTTTTGTTAATAGAATATTTGATTTTGTACCTTCCAGTCTTTGATCAGTATGATGTTTTGTCTGTTCTAATGTTTTTTTGCTTTGATTTTGTCCTAGGTGCTCTTTGCATGTTTGGAGAGATAATAAAGCAGTCTGGCAAGGATAGTAATATTAGGCCAAAGCCTCATCTCTATCTTTCCATGATGCGGGCTTTCGCTATGAGGGGAGACCTTGATATGGTCAAAAGGCTAAATATAAGAATGTGGTCTGATTCTGTTGGATCAATTTCTCCTTTAGTTCAAGGGGAAGCTGATGAGCTTCTGATGGAGGCAGCAATAAATGACAACCAGGTACTAGTATTTCCTCACAAAAATAGTATCAATATCTGTATTTCATTATTTTTTAAAAAATGTTTCGAGTCTTATGAGCAACTGTCATACCATGGAACTCTTTGTAAACATAGAATATTTTTGAAGTTTGTAGATTTTTATTCAATATTATGCATTTATTCACAATGCAGCTTAAGGAAACTAACTTGATTATGATCTAATGAACAGCTTGATCATTTCTTGTCAATTTGGTCAACGATGTCATTTTTAACACAGTAGAGAGAGCAAGTAAAAGAGTAATCAGCATTGTCCTTTTCGAATGTACAACCCAATTGTTCTTTAGCAACTTGAGTAAAATTCGGTGACAGTTTCTGAGGCATGTCGCTTTCTCGGTACTCCTTTCTACTTGTGGTGTATTGTTTTGAAAGCAAAGATCTTTACCAAATGTGTAATCTCATAGTACAAAACAATAAGCCATAGGAACAGAACTTCTTGTCCTGCTTAGCTTTCATGGTTTAATTGCTAAAGAGTAGAAGCATATAGTGTACCTGGCATAGGGCACAAAGCATTATGGCACTTGCCGTATGCAGAATATGCTATAACATACACCCTGGTGTTTAATCTGCCCATGCTTAGGCATAGGCAGATTACATACTTGTCATATGCAGAATAAGCATAGGCATATACTGCCTATGCATAGGCAGTATATGCCACTGCTATAGTAAGTACATGGGCATGATGTTGTCCATTAGTTCCTTGGCCAGTTGCTGATGATTAATAACTACATGGATTCTAAAATGAATATGAATTGCATCTTTTACATGAATGAGTTCTTACACTATGTGAGCATTGGTAGATGTACATTTTTTAAAGTTCATGTACAAAAGAGATTTATTTTTCTTTTAGTGGTACATGTTAAAACGTGTTGTGTTGCAGATTTCTTTGCCTTGTCGTTTTAAAACAACAACTCATATGTTCAGCAGTTAGAATTTACCTGGTTCCTTAAAAAAAATACATGGTTCTTTATCAGCTTCCAAGGTAATCTAGACGCAGGTGAAAATGTGTTATTTTTTATGCCTTCTCTACTATCAACTCCAGACTAGCATGATGTATGCATGGAAGATTCTATATGACTTGTATCATCATGAAATCTATCTGTTTTTCTCCTTTTATGTTTAAATTGTCAATTATTTTACAGGTTGATTTTGCTAAGGTTGTTTTGTCCAAAATAATTACCAGACGGCAAGGATTTTCTTGGACAAGTAGGGGAGGCATGGTATTTACAATAATCTTTTATATTTCAGATTTTGTGGTATGAGCAACTGGGTTGATTTGAGTTCAGTTAATATATCAGAATTCAATTTTGGTCTCGATGAAATTTACATCTAAATTATTCAGATTCAATTAGAACAACTTCATGGTAGATATGAAAAACGTGTTTTAACTAGTAAGAGTTGGCTGCAGACTGCAATCAAAGTAGAGGCTCTATCAGGATTCACCTGTTCCATGCTTAGGCCTTACATCCTTCCTCAGGTACAAAGCTCATTCTCAGGATTCTTTTCAAGTTGCCTCGATCTTTGACATTCTCTCCTGTCAATTCAGGTTTTGGTGGATGATCCAGTCGAGAAGTATATGACAGCTTTTGATGATGCCAACCCATTACCTTGTAGCATGACACTGAATAAAGTCGTCATGCGTTTCTTTAAGGATTCTGCCATTCCAGTCGTGGATGATTGGGGCAGCTGTGTCGGAATTGTTTATCGCAATGATTGCAACAAGGTGTGTGTTATCACTGATGAGCGTTGCAGGCGTTGAAAGACTTGTGATGGTTGGTTGATGTTCCTTTGGTTGCAGATAGATGCACCAGTTTCTTCGGTGATGAGGGGACCGCCACCTTGTGTAACTACATCGACATCCATTGGCCGAGTCATCGATCTCCTGCTGGAGAAGAAGTATGAAATTGTAGTAGTTGTTCGAAACAGTAGTGTATATGAGACCATTTACAGCTGTAGTTCCAGGCCAGTAGGAGTTTTTACTCTCAAGAATTTGTTCCCGCTTTTACATGTTACAGACCAGTAGCAGTAAAGTCCACGTCGTTTCTTTTGTAGATTTAATCAAAGTTCATGGACATGAAAGTCTTGGGAAATTTATCTTTTGGCATTTTTATGGGTTGCTTCAAAGGTTCTTTTTTTAGACAGGAGGAGGAAAGGATGTTCGAAGTACCGAGAGTATTCAGAGCCTGTTGTTGTCAAAGCCTCCCACAAGTTTGCATGAAAGACATACATCGGGAGTTTCACCTGTTGAGGGAGGGAGACTACCACCTCGATTGAGTCCCACCTTCGTTCAGAAAATTTTATTTTCCCAAGTTTTCAGTTATCGACCCTAGTGGCATTCATTCCATGGTGGTTGGTGCCAATTCCACAAAGCATAAACCCATCTTTCCTGCTTAGATGGATGGTACTCTACTACATTCGGTGATGCTTTGATGTGTGGTCATAGCATCTTTGACGATACTGTGGGGCATAGCTCGAGAGAATGGATTGTATTCCTACCTCAAACTACATTCGGTGAGCTACTAATTGACCCTGGATTTTTTAGTAGTATTTCATCATAAATATTTGTCCTAAGCACTCAATCGTCACTCTTTTAACAGCAACAAAAATCCCTATTCCTCATCTTCATTAATCCTCATCTTCCACTAATAAAAATCCCTTTCTATAAGAGCTAAAGTTTAATAAGCACCCAAATGTCCCACCTAAAGAGTGTCGTAACTCTTTTAAGAGCTCGTCTCAAATTATCAACTCATGAAATATAAATTTTATTTTCTTTAGTGTAAATAAGTACTGCATCGAGATTATTGATTATGAATCGTTATACAATCCATCTAAGATAGAATGTTAGATTACAACTAACATTCTATCTTTCGTTTATACAAAATTCACCGGTTCAACTATTTTTTATTGAAAATATCAACAACGATGTTTGCTTGCTCGAGCTCGTACTATATCATCATCGTATCAAATTCAGTTAGAAAATCTTATCATCGAGCTTTATTTGTAGAGAGCTTCTACTTAGTTTAATAATAACTCCGCATGATCATATCTATCCTTAGCACAAATCATATTTTTAGAAAAGAGTACCTTCACACTCATATATAATAAACCACCGTTGCCGTCTCTTTCTTGTGCACAAGTTGATACTCGTTGAGCTTGAGACTCTTATTGGCCACCAAGTGTTCAGCTTGTCTTTCAAGTGCTTGTCAAATTGCTTGAACACTGTGATTTTGAGCAAGACATCATGACTTGTCCATTGCTCGCCTTCAAGACTAATCGGCCTTCTCCTTTTGCATATTCTAGGACCTGCGCGAGGTTGCACTTTGCGAACGAATTCTGAAGACATAGCAATCTTCGAAAACTCAAGAAACAGAAGAAAGCAGATCGAAAACCAGCAACATAGAAAGCAAGCGTAGAAGACACAGCACCTTTGGCAGATTCTGATCGTAAACCACCAGAGACGCAAGATGCCCAACCCCAAGAAACAAAAGAACCCAGGTCAAGAACTAGCAACACAAAGAGCAAGAAACGAAGAAGGCACTGGAATCTTTAAGAGATTCCGATCGTAACCCACCAACGATGCAAGACATCCTAGGCTTGAAACGAAAGAACGCGAATCAAGAAGACTCGGTTGGGAAGATGTCTTTCTCCGTGTCCCAGTCCGCGATCTTGATCTACACCATCAGAGCAGAATCGCCGGTCCAGAGAACCAGCAAGAAGGGGATAAGGTGATAGGATATAGTTCAGGTATCGATCGATCGGCCAACCTGGAAGGGGATTGGCTCCGCGGCGACAGAAGATCTCCATCTTGCACCTCCGCGATTGCTCTTGCTTCACCAGAACCCGGGATCGGCCATGGGATCAAGAGAGGGCGGGAAGGCGAGTTCGATGGGCGAGTCTTTCTCGAAAAGCTTCGATGCTGGGGTCTATTTTATAGCATCAATTGGACATCGAACCGGGCGATGGGCGAGTTCGATGGACGACATCGAACCGGGTTTATGTAGGGAACCACAACTGCAATTGGACATTTGGGCCGATCATGTCCAGTGCATTGGACTCACCCCCACCTGCAGGATGTTAACGGATCGGATTCGGACCGAAGCAGTATCGAATCCAATAACAAGTGTATGGCTCCAATAAATAGTACAAATGTCGTGCAAAAATGCAATTTGGGGAGAAAAAAAAAAAGAGAGAAAGAGTTTCTTTTTCATCCAAGGATATAAAAGTATAATGAGATCATACTTAACCTTTTAGATGGAATAATATTACTCAAAAAATTAAAACAATAACAAGGCAAAGGATCTTTAGATGAAATGGCACAAAATTTGACACCTAAAGTGCAATACTGGTTCTCTTTTAAAGTGTTTTCTCTGCCACTGTTTCTTTAACATCTGAAATGACTGCATATGACACCTTAGGTTGGTCACATGTTGAAGGCTTGCCTACAAGATTTGGTGGATTTATGATTATTAATATAGGGAATAAATCCATTAGTATTGAACATGGCATGATTGCTTCAAGCACTGGTTGGTGCCATTTCCTAACACTGAGATGCAGCATATCTGAGATCAAAGTCAGCAAAATATAGAAGAAAGTTGTGCAGTATTATTTGTGGTGAAGGAAAACCCTACTGTTCTACTTACTATATAGATAACGACTAATAGTCTTCTTCCCATTGGAAGTGTCTTTTCAGCACAGTCTTTTAAGATTCTTTTTGGTCTCTGTCCTTATCAAAGTCTGGTTTACTTGGTCACCTAAGAAGTGGATTAAGAATGAGACACGCACAACTGAGACCCAAAACTTCGCCTTCGTAATCTCCATGTACGAGAAGACGATTGCTGATCTCTGCCGTGACGAAGACCAAAATTTAGGCACAAGAAGATGAAGGCTTGATGTGAAGAGTTAGCCTCTACAGCCCGAACATGGGATCCCACCACAGCGAGGACATGATTTCCAGGAGTACTCTTCCGTTTGCTGTCCTAAACCTAATCATCGATTACCAAGAGATATGATTTGCTTTATAGGCTTCATCAAGCAGAGAGCTTCGTATAACTCGTTGCTCGCGGCACAACGGAGGTAATGGGATCTAAGAGCTCGTCTCAGGCACGCAAGTGCGAGGTGAACCTGACCGGCGATGGCAACACGGCCGCGCTCTCCGCCCCGTTACAGCTCAGCGACCGGAGAAGCCTCCACGGGCCTCTTCTCCCGTTGCTCAGGCGCCCGACGGTATCCTCTGGCGACGGCGTTCTCCGCCGCCTCTGCCGGGTCCTGATGTCCTCCATCTGCATTGCGGACGGGACCCTCATCGGCCCGAGCACGAACAGATACCACCTGGGCTGCGGCTTCATGGCCTCCGTAGGCGGGTCCGACGCAGCCCTTCTCAGCTTCCGGTGCTTGTCCGCGAGTCCTCCGGGCCAGTAGTGGCGCCGGTCGAGGGACCCAGACCGCCGGTGATCTAAAGGCATGGTTCCGGGCAACGGCGAACGGGGATTGAGAGGGAGGAGCCTCCACCCGAGGAAGACGTCCTCGGCAGAGCACATCTCGCTGGCGGCACAGAAGAACTGGAAGGAGTCCGGAGGGGAGGAGAGCGCCCTGTGGAGGGCCGAGGGATCTCGGCCGGCGGTGGCGGTGGCGATGTCTCGGAAGGAGAGAGACATGGGAACCGAATCCTCGCAGTCGGACTCGTGAGCGCCGGCCATGGTTCGGTTCGCGGGCATGGCGGAGTGTATTCTGGAAAAGGGGTATTTGGGGAAGAGGGGTCAAACTCAGTAGCAAGCACAACTAAATTTGGCTTCGCTACGTATCCTTCGAAGGTGGCAAGGCAGGCGCTTGCTTTAAAGAGGTGGGGGATATTTTGGGAACAGTATGCATGCATGACTTGTACGTAATCTCCATCTCGAGCGTGAATACTTTTCGGAGTTACGCGAAGATTAAGGCATCAAATGACCTTAGTATTGTTACATGTTGTCTTTCGTATACAAGCAACACAATCTTCTCCCGTCCAATAAAAGAAGGCAGGCAGCTTTACATACATCACCTTTTGAACATCCTTTTTAATTATTACCATCACCTTTTAAGCTTTAATAAAGTGACGTTGGTGGAGGAGTATGCACCTTCGTTTTCCTTCCTCCTCCTACTCAAAGGCTAAAACCAAGCAGGTTTTCCAGAACATGAGCCACCTTTGGGAAAAAGTATTCATATATTTAAAGATACGTGCATGTCTGTATATCAAAGTACAGCTTACACTACGAGCCATGTAATACTACTGTTTCTTCTTGCCTATTGTTCTTTTGAGGAAGAAGCGTGCATGTATGATCGCAGAATAATCAAAAGGCTCTGCTGCAAGTCCTGTGGGAATCATCCTTTTTTGCCTGAGATGATACGGCATTGCAGCTGCCAATTCCACTTTGAGTTTCTTTTTCTTTCTTTCTTATTCTTCTTTGCTTCATTGACAAAACAGATCGGCCCTTTTTCCAGTTTCCAAAGTCGGAAAAGGACGCCTGCTTCTTTGAAGAGCATCCAAATACGTCCCTTCGTAATCTTTTCCTAGAAAATTTTTGCTTTTAAGTTTTAATTACGATAAATCTTAAGTTAAAGTTACAACCATGTCCGTTAAGAAGACAAATATATATAATAAAATATCTCATTGCCATTCTTAGTGAAGCGGGAGGTTCTTCGAGGATACTTACGAGAACTCATCATGTCAAATGAGAAAAATAATACGAAACAATTTTCTCCAAAAATATAGAGTTCTATCACTTGACTAGGTGAGTACAGAAGGAGTCACACCCGTTAAGAGGTTTTCGGATGTCCAAAGTCAGGTGGAGATGGTCAATCCCTTCGTCATACAGCAGCAACATACAATCAATCCGGTGCTGGAGCGAAGAAGGAATCTAGTGCCTCCATCATTCATCGATTTCTGCCAAGCATCATCGGTGCTAAGTTTAGCTTAGTCAGGATTTGACTTAATCCAACTAAGTATTATCGATAGTGACTCTATTAAGCCACCAAATTATTGGTCTTATAAATAATATGTAACTTGTAGAAAACAACACAAAGTCATTAAAGCAAGCATCACGTTATCGAAAAGAATAAATCAGGGCCTTGCTCGTAAAGTAGCACAAAAAAGGATTAATTAACCAGATCGGGATAGCTAAGCGGAGGAACGTCGAGTCGCAATCAGGCGCGGGCGAGTGAGGGCCCACGGGCGTGAGGAGGCACGCCGCGGTGGGCCCGCGACGTCCAGGTGGCGCTTCCAGACCACGTGGGGCGGGCCCAGGTGATCAGTCCTGCCGCGTGGGTCTTAAGGTGGGCATTTCCTCAAACAGGTGTCGAGCATGCTCTTGCGCGCTTTGTTCACGTGGACGCGAGCTGAGGAGGTAACAGCGCCAAGGGACAACTGCCGCCGGTCCACTCATAAACATCATGGGTGGATCCATCTATCGTAACAATAATCAATAAATAAATAATTCTCTAAATATTAAGATCCCCCTGTATGCTACTACCGTCACCATCCATCTAAAAATCCAAATTGATCATTTTTAATCAAAATTAACAATAATTTATATTATTAGAGAGAGAGAGAGAGAGAGAGAGAGAGAGAGAGGTTTGGAGAAGAAAAGAGTTGTTAGTCTTGGGAACTTAGTACTTATGCCGATTAAAGCATTCCGACATCTTTTGCGGGACACTATGGTTGGAGTCAAAGCGACATGTCCATGTGACTTAGATGAGGGTTGAGAGGAAAAAGTCGACAAAACAACCAAGTCATCCCATAATCTTTTTGCAAGGTGATGTGATTTGTCTTAGAGCAATTGTGGTGGGACGGACGGTAACATCGTCTAGCAAGATTCTTTCAAGTATATGATTCGACCAACCTAAATAGATAGGATGGTCCTCAGCGCTAGTGGAAAACAGGCTCCAAATCTATCTATCTATCCATCATGCTTCCCTTTACGCATGGATAGGATATCGTTGTTGATGCCACTCGTGTGGCTTGATGCTTGAGCTTTAGTTATGTTCCGATCGAGGTCGACTTCAACTTGTGTCATCGGAGAAATAGATTTCTCGAGAAAGCATGTGCAACACGATCAAACATTTAGAACATGTTGCGTTGACACTTCATAGCGATCGATCTTTCTTTGCGATCAAATGTAACATTCATTTAACAGGAAAGATGCTAAATGTTAGCTCAGAAAAATGCAACAGGAAATAGATTGAAGACTCAAAAAATAGTATATAGGAATATATGCCTCTGCGGAATGTTTAAGGTACTTCGAGGCACCAACATGTGTCGTCCGGGTTTCTCGTCGTAGGAAGAAACAAAAAGGAAAAGGGTCGTTTTCCTCGTGCTCTCTGGTATCCTTGTTGACACATCATAAGTTGTTCTGGATTAGAGCTAAGATTTCATGATCTACTTCGATATTCTGATGGATAATTAGTTGGAAGATGGATTGAAGAAATGACATCGCGTAGCTCACTGCAAAACGATAGCACAAGCGAACCCTTTATTTAAGATGATAGATGTTTACAAGGCGGTCGATCTCACAGTGGAGTTGTACGTAATCATACACAAGCTTATTTCGACTGCTATCGGTTGCTAAGTTAGCTTACGTATAACTAGGAGACGAGATGTGCATGGGAGCGAGCTGGTGACGGGTACGTGAGCGATCATGCATCACGGACCTCGAAGATGTTGCGGCTCTTGACAACGATGTCGTACATGTGCACCGACCGGAACTTGGAGAAGTCCGTAGGTACCGAGATGAGGTGCACGGAGGAGCGCTTGTGGAACTGGATCAGATCCGGCGTGCTGGGGTACCGCTCCCACCCCAGCACCGCCAGCTTCTCCTCGAGGACGTCGTAGGAGGTGATCACCTCGCTGGTGGGGACGTGGACAAGGACCTTGCGGCGGCCCACGGCACCCTGCTCGCCGCCGACGTTCTCGACGAGGCGGACCACGCCGTTCTTGAACACCCACACCCCCGACATTATGACCAGAAGCCGCGAGCACCGCAGACGAGAAGAGGTTGGAGATCTGATCTGAGGCAAGGTTGGGGAAGAGGGATCGGAGGGCGGGGGGCTTATGTAGAGGTGGGGAGGGCAGGGAATCGAGCGCAGGTTGCAGAGAAGACAAGAGAAGTGTTTAGTTTCCTTCATTGGGTGGGTGTGATGATGCTGTCATGGACCAGCTTTTGCTTGCACCCGTGTGGATCATACGCACTCAAAAAAAGAATCCTTGATTCGTTTGGTTCTATTATTGCGTGAAATCTGACAGAAGATACTAGTTCGGTCGTCGTGTTCATCATCCAACATACCAGGAGAAGTGAGATTTTCTTGGATCTCCACGGGATCATGGCCATCGATCGACTTGGCTTACCATTTGGTAGTGCAGTGATTCTAATTTCTTGTCATATAATTTTACCCTTTTTCTTTTGTTTTCTGAAGATAATGGTATATGCTTTCTAGTCTATATGTTAAAGATATGGAATCTTGGAAAAGAACATAGCACTCAGCGGTTAGACAAAACGGAAGAACACAAGTCTCTTTTTCTTCTGCATGCTACTGAGGTACCATCAGGGAGATTTGTGGTGGTCACTGAGTTGTCATTTTCAGCGGATAATTATTCACCTTTTTTTTTCGTTTAGAAAAAGGGTTGCCGCGAAACATAAATACACATTCGATATGATCATTCAGAATATCTTGAATAACTTCGAAAGGATTTTATATTGCAGAGAGCTTATGGAATGCAATTTAAAATATGATATTATTATAATTTAAAAAGACACATCCATGCACGCACCTTAAAATTGAAGCTCACAAATCGTGGATCATTCGAGTCCGACATATGTTATCGAGTCTTTTAATTATCAGTAATGTGAGACTATATATGGCCTGTCTCGATCACTTCGCACACGAATACATTCCGACACTGAGTTTGGCCACGTCGCTTTCAAGAGTCAGTTGATCTCCCCGTGGGGGTTGCCCAGTTGGACGTAGACGGGTGGGCTCGACGGACGTGGCTTGGACTTGTCACGTGGGATCGGAATGGGTTGATCAGCCCGAAGCGGCGACGGGGCACGTGGGGAACAGCGACACGAGCATGAATACAGCACGTAGACACATGCTTTGTCACATGGGGGCGACGCAACAGGTCGACGGCCCTACTTGTTGGTCTGCCGGGAAAGTGAGGATGGATATCGTAACTGTCCAGGTCAATGTCTGTGGGTCCGGGACGAGTTTCGACTAGTTGTTGACTCGTGGTGATCGACGATTGGTGGATTCACTCGTTTTGATCAAGACGGTGTTCGAGAAACGGGTACCAATGTTTTTAAAGCCGAACTCTGTCAATTAAGTATTTATTATATGAAAATTAGTTAATAATCCACCAAAGCGCATCTGGTGTAGTGGTATCATAGTACCCTCCCACGGTACTGACCGGGGTTCGATTCCCCGGATGCGCACTTTATTATGTATTTTTTTTTCTTTGATGTTTATATTATCCCTTTAAGCATTAAGCATTTTTTAATGTTTTAATCATTTATAGAGCACAGGTGTACCATCTAAAACGTAGCATGTCGTTATGCACCCACGACGAGCCCAATGGCCGCACAGACCACCACTCGGGCCACTGAAGAGCTTGGCTTTGACTCCCCGACATGACCGTGCATGGAGACCAAACGTTCTCCCATGTTTCGAAGGGACGACGATCGTTGTTGCCTCGCTTGGGTCAGTGGATTAGATCAAACGAAGTTGATAGACTAGTTAGCTCATTAGCATTTGGGCATGTTGAGACTTGATGAGTGTACTATCATCGTCGAAGCAGAAGCGGAAACAGTGTTGTTCTTTTACCTTTGTTCCCGGCCACGACTGTTGACGACATAAGCAACGTTTATGTATGACATCGACTCTTTTAGCGTTGGGAGTTTCTCCTCTACAACATATGTTTTGCGTTATATATCATTGCATGTGTCAATTAAAAGCCCACTGTGTTTATGTATGACATCCGAGTAATCGCGCATACTCGAATGAATTCAGCAGTGGACCGCCTGATCGAAGGTTTGGTGCACACGTTCCTTCCAAGCGAGCGAACTTTCTCAGTTCCTGGGGGTCTGTGCTTTACCTTCGTCTGCCTTTTTCCTCGATATTTCTCTCAGAGAGATGGGTTTTCTTTACTCGCTTCACATCATCATCTCTAGCTTTTCATTTGCGAAGACGGCTAACAATCGGTCGTTTGATTGCAAAGCAACGACTGATACATGCACTAGCGGAGCCATGTGTTCGTGTAGGCTTTCTCGTCGTTCTCTTGTGTTCTTTAATCTGATCAGTGTCGTTGACGGTGGGTTGTGGAAGAGTAGGAGATGTGAACTCCTTTTGAGTGTGCACTTCAATTCTTTAAGAAGCAAATCATTTTAATTTGCTTGAGAAGTCTGGTTAAGACCATTGATTATTTTCAACCAAATGACACCTTTTCTTCTCGACTCCATCTTCTGTACTAAGCTAAATATAATGTGAGTAATAGTAGTATAGGTAGACCGAGAACCAAGAAAACAAATTGGAAGAAACAAGAAAACTGGATGAGTGTGCCAGAATTATTTCTATGTTCTGAATATAAGATTAGATGACCGATCAAAGAATTCTCCTGATCTGTGTGTTGGAAATATCATCACAATTGAAAAAGGATCGACCTCAATCAACATGTTAATATTCTATATTTATTTTTTTATTTTTTTTCTTAATATCATATCAGCATTTGATGAATACTTCTCAAATATTTCAGATGAAGGCGTGTATAAGCCTATTGGTCGGAGGCAATTTGGATAACATTTGCAGTGAGAGCAACAGCTCGCATGGGTAAATTGGAATGGTAAGTGGGTGGTGACATGACACATGCTTGCAAGCCCACTCTCGTGGCATGTTGGAAACCTACCCATCCATGGCGCCGTTCAGGTCGGAAGTGGTCGTTTTCTGCGCATGCTACGCTTCACTCGAGCACACTTTGTTTGCTGTAATATTTCTTTCCTCCTATCACACAATGTAATATGCAAGTGTCTTCCCGGTTCACTTCACTGTGCGAAGAACGCAGGCTTTTAGCATATGTTTTCCATACAGATTTTGCTGTCGTAGAAATGACACCGAGTTGGATTTTTTTTCTTCTTATATTTGGAGCTATTCATGTTTGACATATCCATGTAAATATAAAAATCATCCTTATATTATTGTTATATTAAAATTAAATAATAATAATATATCTAATTTACGATATGTATCTCTCAATCTCATTCGAAAGACTTTTATTTTATCTATAAACGTAATCTAAAAGTTATAGTGATGACGATCTACAAAGATAACTATACTCATCTTCTCATCTTTTTCTATCTTTCACAAGACTACTATTAGCGATTGATTATAGACAAATGAGAGATAAGAGAAGATCTATAATATCTCAATGACTGATTTACATGACTAAGGAGAGATAAGAGAATATATATAATCTCTTGATAATATCATGTATCCATATATTATATTTTTAATCCCTAGGAAGTCATTTCTATTTATAGACAAGAACAAAGGATCTAAAATAAGTAATTAAGAGAGTTTCTCAAATCAAAGTCATCTCCTAAGGATTTCTATCATAATTGAACTTCCTTTATATTAGTCGATAATCATAATTAAAATTAAATTATACTCATAATTTAATATTCTCTCACTTAGCCCATTAATTGATAAGATATAAAAAAAATTTAAATTTAAAATAAATAAAATAAATTTTATTTAAAATAATTATATTTTTAATTTTTTTAATTACACGTGTACATGAATTTTATAAAATAGGCCAATAAGTCTAATAAATATAATATCATATTAAGTCCGATTACTAATATGAGTTATAGCGATTGTATGTCATCAATATCATACTTCTTTATATATATCACAATATTGTTACCTCTTCCTAATGCAATATAAAATGACCCTTATAATTTGTCTTATCAAGATAATCCTATTAACATATTCAATTATATACATATATAAATATGAGTAAAAATAAATAACTTTAAGAATATAAATAAATATATTAATTATAATATCTATTTAGATGTGTATCTTCATATCTTTTTATGGATTACTTATTAAGAACATATTCTTTCAAGCACCTTAGACTATAAATATTAAGTGAATTGGTCAACAATCAACATAGTAAAATTTAAAATCTTAATTGATATTAATTATTTTTAAGTTTTTTTTGAACCATCAATTACTTTAATGCATAGAGTTGTGATAGTACTTATCATTCCTAAAGAAAAAAAAAATTACTATGATATATTATATAGTATCTTTAGAGACTTGACAATTGAGTATGACCGCATCAAGTCCCTAGATAAAATTTTGTAGTCATAAAATTTGATTAGTGATCTCAAAGCATATTGTAAATTAGCTTTTATTATTAATAATATAATTTATATTATACTATTCTTATAAATTACCTCTCCAATATAGGTATAAATCATAAAATAAACTTTATGTTATCAAGGTAATTTACAAAATTAAATCTTAAAAAATATCATCTTTTCAAGCCGATGAAATTTTATATATGTGAGCATATAATCCTTCATCCCTTCCAGATATTTTTTTTCTTTTTTTCATAGTCTCTTAGTATTTTCATTCTTAGGTAACTTTAATACCTACCCAATATTTTAACTATAAAACTAATATTTGATCTGGCATAAGCTTAAGCATATAATATGTTTCCAATTATGTGTATATAAAAAATATTTTTCTTTATCTGATTTTTTAAATCATTTTAAATATATTTGTTTTGATTGAAATTTTTACTTTTATCATTTGCTGAACAAAGTTATATACTTCCTAAGATAATCCTAGCAATTCTTAAGATCTGTCCCTGAGTATCTTAATGCTAATAACATAAGATATATTATTTATATTAAAATTCTTAATGAGAAGTTTCTTGGTTTAACATAATAAAGTAAGATCACTATTGATAAGCAAAATATTATTAATA